ATTCACATCTGGAAAATGCCACAGAGCAACATCAGACTTGTTCAGAGACACCTCAGTGCATTCACTTTCCCCATCCAAAGCTGTTCAACCAGTCCAAGGTTCAAATGTTAGTATTTTTCACTACACCACATCCCAATTTGTATGTATATAAAATAAGAGTAAACAGATCAAACATAAAACAATCATTTTTTGACATGAAACTGCATTTCTAATTACCTTTTACTACCTTACTGGCATCAAACTGTTAACAATAATCCCCTTTTGGCTTGGAAGAGGGCAGTGGCATTACCTAACCTCACATTCAAATCTTCAGTTGTTTTTTGAATGTGACCGTGGTTCTTCTCAGTGTTGTGTGTGTACATAAGAAAACACCTGTCAGCATTGCCACTTTAAAAAAAAACTTTTAAGGACTACAGACACTGTGTGGATTACAATTAAACTTTATATACATATATTTGCTCTGTATCTACTTATCCCATAAATACATCTGTGGAAAACACCCAGTTAATTTCTGGTGACTATAAAGCAGCTCTGTGGGGGAGAGGTCCTGTTTCTCTCTGTTGTCTATTAGCTCGCAATTTCGAAATAGCACCACACCCAGACAGACAGTCATTTGCAAATATTTTGACACAAGTCTTTTTTACAGAGTTTAATTACAAAATTTAAACAAAAAGCAACTTGATGTGCTCGTGAATCTAGAAATAACACAATGGGATGTATGAATCTCTGTGCAACCAGTTTAAAAAAAAAATGCTGAAGGACAGTTGGAATGTCCATAGCTGTTTAGCTATTTTTATGGCTTTATATAAACCAGTTTCCCCCGTGGTTCCAATCCAAGTTCAGAAAACAAAACTTATGTATGCAAGCTGGTTGTCACTGAACTGTCCAAATAATATTCCCAACCAAATTTTTAAAAAGCTTGCAGAAATACACCATGTTTTTTTTTTTAACAAAATATGCAACTGCCATGTTGCACTGGCTACCCCACCTGGGTTACACTGATTCAAGTGCAATCCAGAAGATCCATCAGTTCTTCCTCTTGCCTTTGCTGGCAGCCTTGGCTGGTGTTACCGCAGGAACGGCCGCTTGGTAGAGGGCGGCAGATACTTTGTTGATGTAGTACAAGGCGAAAAGGGAGAATATGAGGCTGGGCACAAAGAAAGACACAGGAATGGAATGACATTTTTACAATCAATTCCTTTAGAGATGACTGAAGCTGTGTTGATGAAGTAAGCATTTGTGATCTGCAGAGTTCCATGCACTTACCATGTGGTGACACAGACACGGTGTACCAGACCAGAGGCAAACAGTGACAAGCAGAGACACACCAGAACTGGAATGAAAAACACAAGTGAGGAGCAGAACCTGAATGATCTGTCAGAGGACTAGTATTATGAACTCATAACAGATCAAATACACATAATGATAATAAGACAACACATACAGTGGGTACGGAAAGTATTCAGACCCCCTTAAATTTTTCACTCTTTGTTATATTGCAGCCATATGCTAAAATCATTTAAGTTCATTTTTT